TATACATAGTAATATACTAGTACTTTATTTTTATTATATTGTGTTATATATTAATATACATAGTAAATAAAATGGAAGATGAAGGACAAGAATGCTTACTTCGATCGTTGAGCAGTTTACGTTATGTGTTATGTGTTTAGCTTAGGTTAAGTTGTTTTGACCTTATTTACATGGGCTTTAGTAAAAAAAATGGGCTTCTTAATGGTCTTGTTTGACCGCACATGTGAAGTAAAACCGGAAATAAACCCTCCCTTCTCAGGTGCGTTCAGCGAGCGCTTTATAGCGCATTTGCGCTTATGCGCTTTGCGCGACTTACATGCGCCTTAAAAGGGAAGGTGCGACTGGCCATCCATAGGGCGCTGGACCTCTCTAGCGCTGCGCCTGCTGCGCTTAAGCGTTCAGGCGCACGACTTTGACAACCTTGTCCGGACTTATCTGAGATGTTACTCACTGTAGCATCTCAAAAAAGATCTTTATTTTTTATAAAAGCTCTTAAAAATTGGCGTGCCAAACATACAACTAGAAGCTTTTAAAGACTTTTTAAATAGTACAAAAGCTAGAAGGCAAGAACTTATGCCTGCCAAACATAGCCTATGTGATCGAGGTATGTCATACAATAATTAGGCCGACATTATTGTATGGCATAAAGTATTGGACGGTGAAATAATGTCGCATTCAAATTCAGAAGATGTGTGTGGCAGAGATGCACATGTTGCATTGGATGTGTGGACTTACTAGAAAAGATCACTTGAAGAATGAGAAAATTAGATTAAAGACGGGATTATCACCTATTGAAGATAAGATGCGTGAGTCTCGATTGCGGTGGTTTGATCATGTGTGTAGAATATCGAGTGATGAACTGATAGGAACCTGGTAATAATCTGGTAATAATCTGAGCACAAACAGTAACAAGCAACATAGATCTGATAAAATGATAGGGAAGATGATGTTTATTGCTAGGAAATATCTCAACGTAAGCAACAAAGGCAACGGGGACTTCTTAGGCAACAAGGCAACACATGATTCTAAAATAACAGTCTGCCATATTACGCTACTCCCCTTTCCTATTTATAGCATTAAGTCCACGCAGGGACTAAAATAGCTAAAGTAATTACTAAACTGACCCCCAGCCCCTTTATTTCTCCTTTCAAATACCCTATTAAAAATACTAAATAGGCAGATTCCTAACATTACTCCCCCCCTAAATAACCACCTTGCCCTCAAGGTGGGTAATAAGACACAACCTTGATCTTGAACTTCCTCTTCATCCTGGAACCTCTCCCTTCCCAGTACCTCTTGGTTTTCTGCTCTAGGAGCTTCATTTCTTTCACTTTCATCATCACATTTTCCACAGCCAACAGGGGCATAAACTGGGTATAAAAATTCCCTGGAATTACACTTGAAGCCTCCTCCTTGTAACCAACCTCTTCATGTAAGGGTTCTAAGACAGTCCTGCTATGAGGCTTTGCAGCTCTAAATGGATCCAGGAACAAACCAGTTTGAACCCTTATAAGAACTCCCATACCAACTTCAACTGTGTAATCAATTTTCCTCTTCCCCTCAATTCCTTCCAAATTGGAATCCTTCAGCTGAATTCCCTCTCCATCCCATTTTCTGCCTTCCCGGTAGATAAGATAGCCCACACCATTCTCCTGTACAGTTTGTGACGTGGTCTTCAGAGATGCCTCCATAGAGTTTGACTTAGGATCCCCTTGAATTGTCTGACTTATCCCCAGATGATGCCACTTTATGCTCTGCTTCTGAAAGTTAATCTCCACATCCCCCAATCCAGTCAACCAATCCATGCCAAGAACCAAGTCAGCTCCCTCCAACTCCAGCATGTAGAAATCTTGTTGAATGACAGCTCCGTGCAAGCTCAGAATGAGTTTTTCACACCTGCCCTTGTTGAAGACCCTCTCACCATTCCCAAGCTGCACTTGGTAGCCAGCATGGTCTGATAAGGGAGGGTTAACTGCTCTACCACTTTCTGGGATATGAAGTTGTGTGAGGCTCCACTATCAATTAGAACATCCACTAGCTTCTCTCCCTTGGCCCATTTCAGAATCCCCTGCACCCTAAAATCCCTCGTAGAGGGTTTTCCGTCCTGGTTCATGAAGGACAATTGCATGGACTTAAATTCCATGGTGATCTTTTCTTCTTCAGGGATTACCCCTTCTGGGTTAACTATTTCCTCTTCTCCCTCGGAATCCTCCACTAAAAGCAGTTTGTAATTCTTCATTTTGCAAGAGTGATCTCTTCCCCATCTTTCACCACATTTGAAGCAAAGTCCCTTCCGGCTTCTATCTTGGTATTCTTCTTGTGTCAGCTGTGGCCCTACTCTTCTTATTTCTACCACCAGTCTGGGATCCTGAACTTCCAGCTTTTGGCTTGTATCCCTCACCCCAAACAGGTTGTCTATAGTTCATGGATCCCTTGTCCCTTCCTTCCAGTTCTCTGTAGTTTTACCCTTAGTGTAAATAGCATCATTTTTCTTCTCAATCGCTTGGGCCCTGTCCATGGTAGCAGCTAGAGATTTGCCATTGAAGAGTTTCAGTTCAGCCTTGATTTCATCCTTGAGGCCATTGATAAAAATGCCTCTCAGCATACCCCTGTCTATGTTCTTCTGTGTAGCTATTACCTTCTCAAACTCATCCCGATAGTCCTCCACAGTTCCAGTCTGTTTCAGGCTCAACATGGCTCCATAGGGATTTTGCAATAAGTCGGGTTGGAACCTACGGATAACCGCATCCTTCAGATTTTCCCAGGTTATCTCCTCGGCCTGTTGTTCCCACCACTGAAACCAATTCAAGGCCCTATCATCCATAGCCACCATTGAAACCTCAACCTTGTCTTCCTCCTCTGTTTTATTCAATCTAAAATAACGCTCCATTCTTACTAACCAGTTATAGGCCCCTACTCCATTAAACAATGGCAAATCCACCTTCCGACCAGTATGCACTCTGCGAGTAGGGATGGGAGAGTGTACAGAATTACCTCTCGAGTGCTCTGGGCTGTGTAGTGATCACGATCGGTGGTGATGTGGTGATCGTGATCGACGGTGATGAGGGGAACGGTGATGCGGTGATCGCGATCTCCCTCTGGACGGGTCCCTCCTGTTCTGATAAGCTGCCATGGATGTCGCGATGCTGTTCTGGATTTGCTCATTCATTGCAACAGTGAGATTCGCGATGGTAGCTCTCATCTCCCGCTCAAAGGCTTCCATGCGTTGTTCCATTTTGGATCTCATTTTTACCATCCACTTCAGAAAAAAAAACTAGGTTGCAGTCGCTTCTTCACAACGATGCTGAAACGAGAAACGCTACTGCCGTCGCACTTCACTTGTGATCCCCAGGAGCGATTGCTCTGATACCATTGATAGGAACCTGGTAATAATCTGGTAATAATCTGAGCACAAACAGTAACAAGCAACACAGATCTGATAAAATGATAGGGAAGATGATGTTTATTGCTAGGAAATATCTCAACGTAGGCAACAAAGGCAACGGGGACTTCTTAGGCAACAAGGCAACACACGATTCTAAAATAACAGTCTGCCCTATTACGCTACTCCCCTTTCCTATTCATAGCATTAAGTCCACGCAGGGACTAAAATAGCTAAAGTAATTACTAAACTGATCCCCAGCCCCTTTATTTCTCCTTTCAAATACCCTATTAAAAATACTAAATAGGCAGATTCCTAACATGAACCTGTTACACAAGTTGAGAGGCGGGGAGAAGAGTAGAGGAAGAGAGTGATAGAGTAGCGCAGTAATACAAGAGGAATGAACAGTAAAGCTAGCTTCAGAAAACAGTAAAGTTTCATAAATGGAGGTACACCGTACAATCCAGTCCCAAAGAGAAGAGAACTATTCTCTAATCTTCCCAGTCCTAATGCCAAAGCATCAAACAGCCTGAATACTAACTCCCCCTTCTCCTCTATTTATACTAGAGTACTACCAGACCTTTATTACTACAATTATTATTATTACTACTGTTACTAGTCTAATAAGTGGGTTCCTATCAATACTCCCTCCCTAAACAACCACCTTGTCCTCAAGGTGGGGAGATAGGAACCTAGCTTGGAATTCAGCTTCCTCCCGGTGCCTCTCCCCTCCCAGTACCTTGCTGGTTGTGGTATCAGATGTTCCCATACTTCTAGTCCTCTAGATGAAGAACTTTTGTCCAGCCTGAGTATAACATGTGCCTCTGACTTCATCCTATTTCTTGAGTGAAATTTCACAATGAATATCTCATACAATTCTTCATCCACACACATGTTAGAAGAAAGTTCAAGAGAACTTGAGTCATACTGTGTTTCTCTTTTTGAATTTAAGGATTTAACAGTCTCCAATTGTATCCCCCAATCCTGAAAGCATAGTAGCATGAGTTCTATTATACTGCACTTCTTGCTGTCATCTTTAAGACTAGGTTTTCTTCCTTTGCATAATGCACCCATCAGCTTCATTACTTGACCCTTCGTCTTTACTTCTTTCACCCTTGGAATTTCTCTCCATTCCAATAATTCCTGCATCTTGCTTTGTAGAATTGTCCTGTAAGGCCTCAGATTGGGTATGTTGGCTCCTTCCTGGATATTTATGGCATGATCACAGTTCCTGGCAGGTGGAAACTTCAACTGGTTTGTGAAAACCTCTGGGAATTCTGTAATTAAACCTTCCCACTCCTCCAATTCTTTCTTATTCTGCCCCACTTCATTTATCTGTCCTTCATAACAAAGTAGGTACCCATCCCCATTGTCATGTAGAATATGTAGCAAAGTTTTTAATGGAATTTCCAAATTATTCCCGGCTGTTTCTCCTTTAATGGTTGTTAGAGATGTCCAGATTCACAGAAATATTACAGAAAAGATGAACAGAATTTAAAGGAACAATTCAAGAAACTGTATTGAAGAAGAACCAGAATCAATGGCCGAAGCCCCCAAAGAAAGAGATTATTAGTCTCTAACTTCCCAGTACAAGACAAAATGTCTAAACAGCCTGCTCCCAATTTCTAACTGTAGTCTATTTATAGTAAGGAAGGCTAGCCCCCGGTAGTTATTAGCTCATAACAAACTAGACTAATAACAGACCCTATTTCTTTCTAAAATACACTTTATTAGAGTATTTATCTTCCTTTCTTCAGTTTAGTAAAGTCTCTATCAAATCTCCCCTCCTGAAAATCCAACTTGCCCTCAAGTTGGAAGGGTGGAATTTGTTGTCTGATGCCCTCAGGTTTCAATTCCATCTTCTGCTTCCTCTTCATCCTGATGCTTCGTCCTTCCCAATATCTCATTAATTTCTGATAGATGAGCTTCATTACTTGATCTTTCCAATTCACATATGTTACTGCAACATATATTGTCTCCGGTGAACTTTCATTCTCTTCAGTCTTCAGGTCTTCAATGGCTTCAATTATTTTCATGCTTCCCTGAAGTATAACACTTACAACGGTAGCAGAATTTGTGTTTTTGTCTTGAACATCAGGATTCTCATCCTCTTTAATCTGCTCATCAAGAATTTTTGAACTACAAATTGCTTCCACTCCAGTTGACTTTCCTCCCATTGAATTATGATTGACAACCATGATGCTTTTCAGTAAAACAATGCCACCCTCTGCCACACTTTGAGTACTCCCCATATCATTCCACCATACAACTTCCATAGAAATTCCCCACCAAAAACTCTCTGTAACTGTACATTTCTCAAAGGGAAAGTCCATTTTCACCTTGTGCCTTGAAACAGATAGTGGAAGACCCCAGGTTATTTTTAAAATGGCACAATCTTTGCTACTATGAAGCAACACATAAACCAAACAACACTTTGCGGCTGAGAATACAAAGTCAGCTCCTGCATCAACAAGTACATCATCCCTACTTCTTTGGTTCCATCCTTCCTTGTCAGATGAAGGAAGTTCATATTTTTTAAAAGCACTCCAATCTTTGCAGCTATTCTTCAGGCTGGAGAAATCATGAAACATAGGATCCAAATTGATGTAGCTGCATCCTTTGAGAATTTTCCAAAAAGAAATTCTACGATCGGAAAAGAATAACCCTCCATTTCCCTCCGCAATCCTCTCCTTCCCTTGAGATATAGGATTTGATTTCCCAGTCTGGTATTTCTTGACTTGAATGTAGTCACCAATTGAATGGCTACGCTCAAGGGACAGCAGCATATTGGTTTCCAATTCTGAATTAACTACTTCGTACCTGGAAGTGTTATTACAAATGAGGAAACGAGTAATTGCTCCATCTTCCAGTCCAAGATTAACTGAAGATTTCTTCTTGCTTTCCTCTTTGCCATAAGTGTGTGTAACCTCCGTGGGCTGTAGTTGCTGATTGACCAACTTCTGATGCGACTCTGGGGACTCAAATAGAGATTGCGAACTAAGGTTTTCTACTTGAGTCGAAGCCAGAGGACCGGAAGAAATCTCTTGCGACTGAGACAAACCTCTGTTCTTCGAATTTATACAGTGACGTACAGTCCTTGACCTTCCTCGCCGACGTTGTTTCAGCAGCTTGGGCTTCCCCTTCTCCATGTTTGAAGGCTTTTCTTTCTCCACTTTTTCGCTCTTCTTTATCTCCACTTTTTCGCTCTTCTTTTTCTCCACTTTTTCGCGCTTCTCTTTCTCCATCTTTTTGCACTTCTCTTTCTCCATTTTTTCGCACTTCTCTTTCTCCACTTTTCCTCGCTCAACCTCTTCCGCGAGCTTCCCCAGTTTTCCGCGCGAATCCTCTCGCGAGTGCGAAACATCCTTATGCGACTTGGTGAGCGACTGAGATGGATGATTTCTAGGGTTCTCCGCTTGACGTGCGATGTTACCACTCTCTCCTTGATCGCAATTTCTTGCGTGTCCATGGTGCGCAGTACTTGATCTATGCGAATGACTCCTCGAGATTCTGACCTTCAATTCTGCGATGCTAACTTGCATCACCCCTTGCATCACCGCTTGCATCACGGCCATATTAGCCGCTATATTCGCCATCCTAGCTTGCATTTCACGCTGATTCCTCTCCACTTCAGTGAGTCGTCCCTCCATTTTCAGGCGTGGTTATCTCAGCGATCGACGGCTCTGATACCAATGTTAGAGATGTCCAGATTCACAGAAATATTACAGAAAAGATGAACAGAATTTAAAGGAACAATTCAAGAAACTGTATTGAAGAAGAACCAGAATCAATGGCCGAAGCCCCCAATGGCCGAAGCCCCCAAAGAAAGAGATTATTAGTCTCTAACTTCCCAGTACAAGACAAAATGTCTAAACAGCCTGCTCCCAATTTCTAACTGTAGTCTATTTATAGTAAGGAAGGCTAGCCCCCAGTAGTTATTAGCTCATAACAAACTAGACTAATAACAGACCCTATTTCTTTCTAAAATACACTTTATTAGAGTATTTATCTTCTTTTCTTCAGTTTAGTAAAGTCTCTATCAATGGTGCAGTTTCTCCCTTGTTGCTTCCAATTCAATACCTGTTTCTGGAAATTAACTTCCACATTGCCCAACTCAGTCAACCACTCCATCCCCAAGACCACATCTGTGCCTCCAAGTTCCAAAATGTAGTAAGATTGTTGTATTTCAGTTCCCTGTACTTCCAATTTCAGTCCATCACATCTGCCTCCATTAGGAATCAGATCACCATTCCCAATCTGAACCTTAAACCCTTGTATAGGGACAAAAGGAATCTTCCATGCATCAACTAAATCCCTGGATATGAAATTGTGGGTAGCACCACAGTCAATTAAGATATTCACCTGTTCCTGTCCATCTATCCATTTCAGGTTACCTTTCACCTTGAAAGTTCTCATTGAAGGAATGCCAACCTTACTTAAAACAGATAATTGCATAGTTTTAAGTTGCTGAGAATCCCCTTCTTCCTCTTCATTATCCATAACCTCAACTTTAGATTCATTCTCTCCCCCAGATTGCTCTACCAGTATCATTTTGTAATTCTTCATCTTACAAACATGCCTCTTATTCCAGTCTTCACCGCATTTAAAACATAATCCCTTCCTACTTCTTTCTTGCAATTCAGTTCTGGATAATCTAGGGCCATTTCTATTCGTATCTGGTGCTTTCACTTCCTTATTAATTTTCTGATCAATTGTACTTCTTACTATACCTGCAGATTGGTTAGGCATGCTTTTCCATCTATTTCCATCACTCCAATTTGGTTGTGTGCTCTGGTTACTGTATTTCCCTTGCCCCTTCTTCTTCTCTTCATATTTGTTCCTCACAATTATGGCTTCATTATTCTTATTCTCAATAAGTGAAGCTTTATCCATGATCTCAGCCAAAGTCCTTGCAGAGTAGAGTTTCAATTCAGCCCTGATGTCACGTTGGAGACCTTTTAAAAACACTCCTTTCAAAACCTCTTCAGTCAAATGGCTCTGTGAAGCAATAACAACCTCAAATTTATCTCTGTACTTTTTTATGGTCCCTTTTTGCTTTAAACTGAATAGTGGTCCCAACGGATCTTGCACTAACTCAGGTTGGAATCGTTTAGTCAAATCCCTGGTAAACGACTCCCAATTCATGTGTTGAGCTTGTCCCTCCCACCACTGAAACCAGCTCAAGGCCTGGTCCTCCATCGCTATCACTCTACGTCGATTTTATCCTCTTCCCCTGTATGATTCAATCTGAAATACCGGTTCATCCTTACTAACCATCCAAACGCATCTTCGCCACTGAAAATAGGTAAATCTATTTTCCTTCCTGCAGTAGGGCGACACTGTGGTTTCTATGACGATCGCGATTCTCATGAGTATCGTCACGATCGGAATTAGTACCTGAGTCTTCAGTACTTCCCGTTCGCCTCGCATGTCTGCGGTGAGAAGAACGATGCGATGTACTAGAGTGATGTGATTGGCTACGCTATCGATCTGACATTATCCTCTGAATATCGGCGATGCTAGCTTGCATCGCAGACATCATTGCGTGCATATCACGCTGATTCCTTTCAATATTAGCTTGGTACTCCCTTTGATTCATCTCCATGCTCAATTGCATCTCCCTTTGATTCCGTTCCATCTCTGTCAGTCTCCCTTCCATTTTCGCACGAGTTAAGATCATTCAGCGATCACACGTGCTCTGATACCACTGATAGAGTAGCACAGTAATACAAGAGGAATGAACAGTAAAGCTAGCTTCAGAAAATAGTAAAGTTTCATTAATGGAGGTACACCGTACAGTCCAGTCCCAAAGAGAAGAGAACTATTCTCTAATCTTCCCAGTCCTAATGCCAAAGCATCAAACAGCCTGAATACTAACTCCCCCTTCTCCTCTATTTATACTAGAGTACTCCCAGACCTTTATTACTACAATTATTATTATTACTACTATTACTAGTCTAATAAGTGGGTTCCTATCAGAGAGGGAGATGAAAATCCAAACAGACGTGGAGTAGAGGAGTCAATAGTGATATGTTTCTTCATGGGTTGGATGAGAGTATGACTTTAAATAGAACAAAGTGGAGGGTGAATATTTATGTGGAGGATTGATCTATTTTCATCTTTTTTATCTTTTTATCTTTGTATCCTCTTTATCTTTCTTATGTTTTTATGCTTTTTATTATATATATTATTCTTTTTTTCTTTTTTATCTTATCATTTTTTATGAACTTATCTCCCCTATCATAAAGAGTACATAATTTTGTATTAGATACCTCATAGTACATCAACTTGACTTTTTACTATCAATTGAGTACGTCTGTTATACCGACGTTAAAAATGACGACTTGGCTAAAGTTCTCGCTGATGCGGTTTAAGATGTCAAACTCAAATGTTCTGTTAAGTTAAGACAGTCTCCAATTAGTTTAAAGCCAAGAGATTTATTTGGCAGCTCACCATTTTGATGAAGGGATAATGTACTCCAAAGAAAAGCAGATGTTGAAGCTTGGAGGGTGAGGAAAAGAGATAGCCGCCTCCTTGTCTCTTATTTAGCCTTGTGGACGGAGGGGAGAAGAAAAGCTGCAGAATCGGGCAGTCTGATAGAATAACTCCAGAAAACACAACAATTTACAGAAAAATGTAGAATAGAATCAAGAAAACAATCAAGCTTTATTATCGATGAACAGTAATAATGGCCGAAGCCCCCAAATGGCCGAAGCCCCCAAAGAGAGAGATTATTAGTCTCTAACTTCCCAGTACAAGACAAAAGTCTAAACAGCCTACCTCACTTCTCCCAGCTTATTCTATTTATACCAATCTAGTACATTTATTATCATTCTTGGTCTATTAGGCCCAATTCCTAAAAGTCTATTAGGCCCAATTCCTAACAATACTCCCCCCCCCCCCCCCCTAAACATCCACCTTGCCCTCAAGGTGGGCGACAGGACACAGCCACCATCTTCCTCTTTTCCTTCATCCTAGCCCCTCTCCCTTTCCAAGACTGGATGGATTGCTGGACTTTTAGTTTTGCTGCTTCCATCTTCTTCCCTATGTATTTCACAGTAGAGTTACACAGATGCCATGACATTTGTTTTTGCAATTTGGTTCTTTCTGATTCTGTGGAGGTGAAGTCACAGCCTGCTGCAACACCGAGGACAACAACTTCTTGCTTTTGAACACTTTCTTCTTCAATATCAATAGATAACTCATGATAGTTCAGCAATTTTCCTTCTCCTCTCTTATTTACCAAGCTCTTCATCTCCTTGTTTATTCCTAGTTGATGATCTCCTTGTATACTAGCCTTCTGCCCCTGTACCTCCCATTTGATGGTCTGATTTTGAAAGTTAACTGCCATATCCCCTAGGCCAGTTAACCAGCTCTTTCCCAGCACCACATCCACTTCCCCCAATTGCAGAATGTAAAATTTCTGCAAAATTTCATTTCCTTGTACAACCACTGTTAACCCATCACACCTACCATAGTTGGGAAGAAATTCCCTATTCCCTATCTGCACTTTATTCCCCTTAATGCAATCAAAAGGTATTTTCCATTCCTCAACAATCTTCTGTGAAATAAAATTGTGAGTAGCTCCACAATCAATCAAAATATGCACCTTCTTTTCCTCAATCAGCCATTTCAGATTTCCCAGGACTTTAAATGTTCTCATGAGTGGCGTTCCTTCTTTGTTCAACACAGATAATTGCATAGTCTTAGCTTCCATAAGAATTCCTTCTTCTTTTTGTTCTTTACTAAAGTCAGTATCAGATTCCTCCTCCCCTTCAGATTGTTCTACCATCATTATTTTAAAATTTTTCATTCTACAAATGTGACCCCGATTCCAGTTTTCACCACATTTAAAACATAACCCTTTCTTACTTCTTTCTTGCAGCTCATTCTGTGATAATCTGGGGCTTGTATTCTTAGAGACAAAACTTGATCCTTCTTCCAGCTTTCTTGTTATCATCTGAGTTCTTCATCAATTGATTTGTAGATGTCAGATTACAACTATTTTTACTACCATCTTCCCATTTATGATAGCTCCATCCACCTGCTGAATTTATTTTCAGGATCTTCTTTCCCTCATCTTTATTCTTTATGATGTTGGCTTCATGGTTCTTGTTTTCAATCAAGGAAGCCGTGTCCATGACAGCAGCTAGGGTTCTTGTAGGATATAATTTCAATTCAGCCCTTATATCTCGTTTCAACCCATTGAGGAACACTCCTCTAAGTACCTCCTCAGTCAGATGCCCCTGCGAAGCTATATCAACTTCAAATTTATCTCTGTACTCCTTCACCGTCCCTTTTTGCTTCAAACTAAACAAAGATCCCGGAGGATCCTGCACCAATTCTGGTTGAAAACGTTTGCTTAGATCCTTCGTAAAACTCTCCCAAGTCTGGTGACGAGCCTGGCCTTCCCACCATTGGAACCAGCTCAGTGCCTGGTCTTCCATGGCTATCACGGCAACATCAATTTTGTCTTCTTCCTCCATATGATTCAGGCAGAAATAACGATTCATTCTTACCAGCCATCCAATAGCATCTTCTCCGTTAAAAATTGGCAAGTCAATTTTTGCTTCCAGTTCGTTGGTGGTGATCATATCCCTTGCGGCGATGGTGGTGGCGGTGTGGTGGTGAACAGTTGTCGTTCCCTTCCGAGTTCTCAAAACTCGCTGAGTGTCGCGACTGATGATGGTGAAGTGCGATGCGATGAGCGATGCGACCTACTTCTCCATCGATCTTGATCGCTTGCATCCAATCTGGCCATTATCGGTGCTAACATCTCCGTCGTTTGTTGATGATTCCTATCCACCTTATCATCCAATCTGTTGTGGTTATTCTCCAACTCATTCATCCACAAATCCATCTTTGTCCATGTCCAATCCATCCACATAATCTACGTGCTCTGATACCACTGATAGAATAACTCCAGAAAACACAACAATTTACAGAGAAAATGTAGAATAGAATAAAAAAACAATCAAGCTTTATTATCGATGAACAATAACAATGGCCGAAGCCCCCAAAAAGAGAGATTATTAGTCTCTATCTTCCCTACAAGACAAAAGTCTAAACAACCTACCTCACTTCTCCCAGCTTATTCTATTTATACTAATCTAGTACATTTATTATCATTCTTGGTCTATTAGGCCCAATTCCTAAAAGTCTATTAGGCCCAATTCCTAACACAGTCAAGGCTCACACAGAAGACAACAATCAGCAACCAACCCCTCAACCCTCTAACCGTTCTGAAGTTTTCTGAATATTATTTCCATGAATTCATTTACAAGAAGTACATAAGCTATTTATACAGATAGGAATCCTGAGAGAGTCTATTCAGTACCCTAGGTGACTGTCTAAATACTAAACATAAATGATTGAGAACTGAAAAGACAGCAGCTATTAAATACAACCTGAAGCACTAAAGACACATAATTACAGTAATAATAAGGAAAATAAATCCTAGATTAATGATGTCTCTTCGTTTTATCAACACCCCCCTCAAGCTAGGTTTGTAGATATCCGTCATGCCTAGCTTGACAATAAGGCCATGAAACCTAGGACTGTGCAGAGGTTTGATAAACACATCTGCAACTTGATCTTCTGAGGGAGTGTAGCTTAGTTCGATCAGACCTCCTTCATCCTTTTCTTTGATAAAGTGTCCATCAATCTCAATATGCTTGGTCCGATCATGTTGGACTGGATTATTGGCTATGTTGATTGCTGATTTGTTATCACACCTCAATTCCATTGGTCCTTTCCACTTGATTCGTAAATCTAAGAGAATAATTCTGATCCATAGAAGTTCACATAAGCCATGGGCAAGAGCTCTTAGTTCAGATTCAGCAGATGATCGTGTCACAACATTATGTTTTTTGCTTCTCCATGTCATGAGGTTTCCTGTTAGGAAAACACAGAGACCAGTAGTTGACCGGCGGTCAACGAGCGAGCCACCATAATCTGCATCAGTGAAGGCTTGGACTGATAATTGTCCACCCTTCCTGAATATTATCCCTTGCCCTGGACTTCCTTTTAGGTAGTGAAGAACCCTATAGTCTGCTTCTAGATGTGGTTTCCTTGGATCCTGGGTTATTTAATCGGCGAGTACTCAGCGAGTACTCCCTACTCGGCCTCCTACCTTGCAGAGTAGCACCTTTACTCGGCCCGAGTTAATTATCCGAGTTACTCGCCGAGTACTCGCCGAGTTAGTCAACTCGGTGAGTTGGTCAAATGGGCGAGTTACTCGCTACTACTCGGTGTATTAAAAAAACTGCGCACAAAACCTAAAAGTCTAAAACTATTTTAAGCGGTCATATTTTGGGGCTTCGACCAGTGCTGCTACATCGCTAGGAGCTGCGACTGGCAGTGTCGGTCATCTTTTGGGGCTTCGACCAGTGCTGCTTCATTGTTTGGAGCTGCGACTACTAGAAGCTGCCAGTTCTACGAATCTACAGTGCTGCTGGGAGTCACCTGCGAGTGCTACAGGGTTGCTGCGAGGTGCTACAGGTAATTTGTTCCCTCGTTTCTTCTTCCTCTTGTTAAAAAAAATTAAATTGGGATTATTCAAACGGCTGCAGCTGAAATTGTTGACCATTGAATTCCCTGCTACTAAGTTCCTTAGTTATTATGTTACCGAGGCATTAAGTTCCTTTTATTCTATGTATTAAGCATTGATTTTTATATTAATTTTTCCTTGGCAAGTTGGCAGTGTCTGTGTTTGGAGCTTCGTATATACCCCTCCCCTGTCTGGCTGTCTCGTTTCTTGTTCTAGTAGTAGTAACCAAAAGTGTATCATTTTATTAACAAGCTCTTACAAATGTCTCTGCAATCCAAAACATGCTGACATGTTGTAAGTTTTAAGCTTACTATAATTTATACACTTAGGAAGCTTTAGCTACATTTTTTTTCCCACAGAATGTAAGCTATTTTGATGTACATTTTTGTTTGGAGTTGCTAAGCTGAATGGTGTGACATTTCTATCTAGTTGAGAGACTATATCCTATTCCAAATTATTTTTCTCATTCATTATTAGGCAGTCAAACCTGTTCTTTTTTTAATCTGGTTTTATGTACTAAGTTTCAAGGTGCATACTATTATAGTCTCCATGAAAAATACACATCTAATCTGGTTTTATTAGATGATTGACTGCTTTATCACTTTCGTTTTATGACTTTTGCTACACCATCATTAGGATAATAGGATTTCTATCCTTTTATTCACTTCTATGCATTTTAAGACAATTTAAAGACTATTTTAAGACTACTATATTTCTGTAATATAGGGCACCTATACGGCTATATTATTATATTTAATTAATACAAGGCCGAGTAATCACCGAGTAATCCCGAGTAATCGGTCCTACTCGCTGCTTGGCCCTTGACCGAGTTGCTACCGAGTAGCGAGTAAATAACATAGCTTGGATCATGCATGAACTGACTCAAAACACTAAATGCATAGGCAATGTCGGGTCTAGTATGAGAGAGATAGATAAGTTTGCCACACAAGCGCTGATACATTGATGAATCAACCGTGGGTTCATCAGTAGCAAGTCCAAGCTTATGATTAGGATCCATAGGTGCATTAACCGGTCGACAAGCACTCTTACCAGTCTCATTTAACAAATCTGTAATGTACTTTTGTTGGCTGATAAAGATGCCTTCAGATGAGCGAACAACTTCAATTCCAAGAAAGTATTTTAGAGGGCCAAAAGACTTCATCTCGAATTTGGATTTCAGCTGCCCCTCAAGACGTTGTTTCTCAACTGGATCATTACCCGTCACAATGATGTCATCCACATATACTAAAAGAATAGTGCCTCCATTTGGGCGAGAGTGTTTGTAAAAAAGAGTATGATCCCCTTGGCTTTGACTATACCCAGCAGCAAGAACAACCTGTGTGAAGCGGTCAAACCAAGCACGAAGGGATTGCTTGAGACCATAGAGGGCTTTTTTTAAATGGCATACATGTGTAGAGGTATTTGTTGATGTTTTATACTTTTATTAAAGCCTGGGGGAATGTACATGTAGATCTCATCATGCAAGTCACCGTGGAGAAAAGCATTCTTGACATCAAATTGCAATAGAGGCCAATCAAAGTGAGATGCCAAGGATAGTAGGATACAGACAGTATTGAGCTTAGCTACATGAGCAAAGGTCTCTTGATAGTCAATCCCATACGTCTGAGTGTATCCTTTAGCCACAAGACGAGCTTTGTACCGCTCAAGAGATCCATCAGCATTGTATTTGACAGTAAAGATCCACTTGCAACCAACAACATGCCTCCCAAGAGGTTTAGTCACAATATCCCAAGTATGGTTCTTTTCAAGAGCTCTAATTTCCTCTTGCATATCATCCCTCCATTCTTTCTTTCCTAATGCCTCATAAACAGAGTTGGGTATGGGAATTTCATTAAGTCTCTGAACAAACAAGGCATGTGAAGAAGAGAAGTTATCAAACAAAATTAGCAAGAGGGTATAGAGGTGTTTTGGTACATTGACGTACACCCTTGCGTAAAGCAAATGGCGGAGATGGTGGTGGAGAAGAAGAGACATTACCTGGGTCAGCCAATTGGTCATGCGTCAACAATGGAGTGAACCTGTTTTTTCTTGAGTACACTTTTGTCACTGGTAGAGGAGAAGATGGGTCATGAGTGGTGGATTTAGTAGGTGTAGGAATGGGATGGTCTGGTGGTGGATTTGATTGAGGTTCATCTACTATTGTATCTACTCCGAATAATAATAATCAGAGTACATCTACTTCTATTTTACCTTGTAAATTTTGGCATCTTAGACTTGGTCATCCTCATGTTGAGGCCCTTAAGTCTGTACTCTCACAATGTAATGTTCCCTATCTTAATAAAAATGCTATAGGTTTCTGTTCATCATGTTGTCTTGGAAAAGCTAAGCGTTTACCATCTTTCTTATCTGTTACTGATTATTCTTCCCCCTTTGAGCTCATTTTTATTGACCTGTGGGGACCAGCTCCTGTCACTTCTTTTGATGGATATTCATATTATATACTATCTTCCGTTCTTTAATTCTTGCAACAGTTTGACTTTCACGTTTGCCAACGCACAACTTTGACTGTAATTATATTTAATTATGTATTAGTAAACATTATAAAAAGTTGATATTTTGGAAATTCACATTGATAGGAACTTCAATAACATTTTATATGTAATAATTTGATTATGTATAGTAGTAGAAAATCGTGGTCAAAGTAAGGTCTGTGAATAGTGCAAAAATCACAATGTTGCAAGAATTAAAGAACGGAGGAAGTATCTTTTATTGATGCTTTCACCAGATACACTTGGATATATTTTCTCAAAGCTAAATCTGATGCTTGTACAGCCTTTAAGAATTTCTATGAATATGTCCATACTCAATTTTCTACTCATATTAAATCTGTCCAATCTGACTAGGGAGGAGAATTTTGACCATTCACTCAGTTTCTAACTGAAAAAGGAATTGTTCACAGACTTGCTTGTCCTCATACACATCACCAAAATGGTGTTGTTGAAAGAAAACATCGAACCATAGTTGAAAAAGGTTTTACTCTTCTTGCCCACTCATCTTTACCCTTTAAATTTTGGGATGCAGCATTTGCTACCTCTGTGCATCTTATAAATAGAACACCATCTGCATCAATTTCACATTCTGTTCCCTACACCAAACTGTATCAATCTGTCCCAAATTACTCTTTCTTAAAGGTGTTTGGGTGCTCTTGTTTTCCTTTTATCAGGCCATACAAAAAGCATAAATTTGATTTTCACTCTGAAGAATGCATCTTCCTGGGCTACTCTTCTCAACACAAGGGGTATAAGTGCCTGTCTCCCTCTGGGAAAATATACATCTCTAGGGATGTCATCTTCAATGAATCAAGTTTTCCTTATCCTAAACTCTTTCCCAAACTTTGTTCCTCTTTTAACTCAAACACTTCCACTGCCTCTTCCTTTAGCCATTCTATCAAACTCTTCTACCTCTACTCAAACATCTGGTACCACTCCTTCATCTTCCTCCTCAAGTGATAATGTTTCCTCTTCATCACATAATCTGTCTCAACATTCACCCACTTCTCCCTCTCATTCTTCCTCTGTTTCTAATTCTAATAATTCCACATTTGAAGTCAATTCTTCTACTTCTGAGTCTGAAATGGCAGCAACATCTCTCCATTCTAATTCCATTCCTCCTGTCTCTCTAGTACCTCCCACAAATGTTCATACTATGACAACTAGAGCCAAATCTGGAATTGTAAAACCCAGACTTAATCCTACCTTGCTATTAGCCCATTCACCCATTCAGAGCCAAAGACCGTTAAAGAGGTTATCACTGATCCTGCATGGTATGCATCTATGAAAGCTGAATACCAAGCTCTCTTATCCAATAATACCTGGTCCATTGTGCCACTTCCACCTGACAAACAAGCAATTGACTGTAAATGGGTCTTTAAAACTACACAAAATCCTGATGGATCTGTTCATAAACTGAAAGTCAGGCTAGTAGCTAAGGGGTTTCATCAAAGGTATGAGTTTGATTTTGGTGAAACCTTCTCTCCAGTTGTTAAACCTGTTACTATCAGGACTCCACTCACTCTTGCTGTCACAAACCATCGGTCTATTCAACAGTTGGATGTGAATAATGCTTTCCTAAGTGGGGATCTTGAAGAAGAGGTTTATATGATAGGGACCTACCTATTAGATTAATAATAGAAAGAATCATAATAATAGTTGTAATAAGGGCTTAGGCAGTATTATAGTATAAATAGATGTAGAGGGAAGGTAGTAAGGAGGCTTTTGAACTCTTTGTCTTGGGACTTGGGAAGACTGAGACTAATAATCTCTTTCTTTGGGAGCTTCGGCTTTTGGGGGCTTCAGCCATAGTTTCTTGTACCTGTTCTTAATCAATAAAGTTTCAGATT